CCAGCAAATGGGACCAGGCCGGTGAAAAGTTCGATATATTTCCGATAAATATTAGAGAAGGCACCGATTCGTTCGTCATTCGCATGGTAGTTCGATCTGAATTACCTACAAATGAGGCAAATCGCTCCCAAAATTTTGTATGGCGAATTACGTAATTCGGAAGGTAATTGGCAAGGCGAATGACGAATGGGAGAGCGAATTAAGAATCGTGGAAACGCCGTCTTAGGGCGTTGTTTATTACTGTTAGATTACACTACTCCCTCGGTTGCGAAATGGTCCCCCTATTGCCTTTTGTGTTTGTGCATCAATGTAGCACACCATTCCACGATGTGCTGTGAACTTTCGATATCCATACTGCAAAATTTGCATCGCTCTTGCGAGAACATTCCCAGTTTGATCCGGTGATAGATAGTTCAGCATACAGTGACTTGGACGAATTCTTGTAATAATTCGTAAGTTGTTCTTTGATAGGCTCATACATTCCCTAAAGGGTTTAATGTTATATGAATGTTCTTAAAAGTGCTTTGGAATGCTCTAGACCTGGTAGAGTGTCCCAGCATTGATTTCTTTGAGACTCTTCCTCCAACTGTGCCGGGGCAAAGAATGCTTCCTTTCTTATCTCACAGAAAGGCTCTGCTCCGGCGAAAGGGGTTGATGTTCCTTTCTTTGCAATTTCATCGGCAGTCTCATTTCCTACAATACCAAAATGTCCCGGAATCCAGAGAACCCAAACACGATTGGTCGGACTGAGAGAGTTTATTTTATAAAGGCAAATGATTTTTTTATGAATTTGTTAAAGCTTCGCTACTGTTCAAACTACTCTGAAAGCATGGTTTGCAGGGAATCTCCAAAAGATACAGGGTAAAGGGCAGAGCTGCAATTATAGACTAATATTTACAGCCGAACAATAAAGTTAGAATGTCTGCATGTCCGTCTGTCTATCGGCCAGCATCATCAATGAGATGGCTGGCTGGTGCTGCTTCTTCTATGACGCCCCTAACAATGGCAATCAATTTTATTGCCGTTTTATGAGGCAAACGATGAGTGAGCTGGTGGACCTAACCAGAGGCTGACTATCGCCAAGCAATCGTGGCGCATGACCAACAAATTTACAAAATGCTCTAACAAACGCGCAAATATACAGACATTTGGGTGGCCAAAGCTTTTGTTTTTCATTTTTTTGCAAAACATTTGTTGTTGGCTCATTCATTCATTGCCTCTTTTATTGCCACTGTCTTTGCTTTTACTTTTGTTGTTGTTGTAATATTCATTTTATAGTTGCATTTGCACATAAAAATGGATTTTTACATCTGTTACTTTGCTGGTTGGTTGGTTGGTTTACTGGTTAGAGTAGGGAGGAAACGATACCAGTAAATACAGGTACATACTCGATACATTTCGTTCGATACCAAGTAATTTTGGTATCGATACTTTTGAGCCAAGTATTGAGTAGGTATCGAAAAAATACTCATATCGGAACCTGATACCAAGACGAATTTTCTTTCGGAATTGTTATGGCTGTTAAAACGACAGCGACCTTCAAATATTGAAGATGTTAATTTTTTCAGACATTTTTGCAGT